ATCAGCTGGGGTGCTGTTACAGTCTTTGAATCCAGCATTACAGCTACTTATTGCACAAGTTTGAGTATTGCACGTGGGCTGTGCATTTGGCAAAGTGCAGGGGGTTCCACAACCACCGCAGTTACTAAGAGTAGTGATGCTTGTTTCACATCCATCAGCTGGGTTGCCGTTACAGTCTTTGAATCCAGCATTACAGCTATTTATAGCACAAGTTCCAGAAGCACACGTCGAAACCGCATTTGCCAAATTGCACGCATTTCCACAAGTGCCGCAGTTAGTCAGTGTAGTGGTGCTAGTTTCACATCCATTAGCAGTTTTGTTGTCACAGTTGGCGAAACCAGCAAGGCAGGCACTAATGGGACAAGTACCAGAAGTACAGGTTAAAGATGGATTTGCTAAATTGCATGCTTTTCCACAAGAACCGCAGTTTGTGAGTGTGGTTATGCTAGTTTCGCATCCATTAGCGGTGTTGTTGTCACAGTTTGCATATCCAGTACTGCAGGTGCTAATTGTGCAGGTTCCAGATGCACACGTTGAAACTGCATGTGCTAAACTGCACGCATTCTTACAAAATCCGCAGTTACTTAATGTATTTAGACGAGTTTCGCAACCGTCATTGTTCCGGTTGTTGCAGTCTCCGTAGCCGAAGTTGCAAGTTGTCACAACACAGGTGCTGTTGACGCAGGAAGGCGTAGCCTGATCGAGATTGCATTGGTTTCCGCAGGCGCCGCAGTTTTGTGGGTTGTTTTCTATGTTCACTTCGCATCCGTTAGCTGTGTTGCCGTCACAGTTTCTATATCCAGTGTTGCAGCTGGAAATGCGGCATGTGCTAGAGGTGCATGTAGGGACAGCATTTGGGAAAGAGCAAACTGTGCCGCATGCCCCACAATTGTTACGATCGGTGGATGTTTGTATTTCGCAGCCGTTTGCGTCTTGATTGTCGCAGTTGCCGAAATTATTACTGCATCGGGTAACGACGCAGACTTGGTTGCTGCATGTGGACACCGCATTTGGCAATGTACACGTGCTAGTACAGCCGGTGCAGTTTGTTTGTGAGGACGGACAACAATTGAGGTGTTCACTCAATGATGTCTCTGTCCGGGCGAGGTTTAGGATTTTACTGCTGTTCCTGGTAATGTAGTTATTGAACAGCGACAACAAACGGTTGCTCTTCTCACTAAAATAGGAAGGATGATTTTTCGAGTTTTCTCGTTGATTATTGAAGCTCTGCTGATGTTAATGGTTTCGGAACCGATTAGTTTTCGACTCATTTTGAACTCCGAAATCGAAGGGAGTCAATAGTGTACTGAGTGGTTCGTGGGTGAAACGAGCGTGATATATGGCTCGGTGAAGTTTTAAGATGCTTGAATGAGCAGTATGCTTATTCAGTTGCTCAGACAATAATAGTAAGTGGTGTTGTCGCTCTAAATTTGTGTTCTTATTATTTTTTTTTGAAGTGTTACTAACGGATCATCCCAAATGTCGGCTTTAAAGTTTAATTAGAATTAGGTTTGAAGGGAAGTTAGTTTTCTCAATGTGTCTCGTCTTATTGAGCGTTTGTGCTTAAAAATGAGGACATTTCAAGTGCGGTTAAGGGAAAGCTTCACAGCCATGTGGAAAGTCCAGCTTTTCGAAGTCAGTTACGATAGTAGCCGATTCCGGTGAAATGTATCCTACACTATGGGACTGGTCGTGAGATTAAGATTAGATTCTAAAGTTTTCTTAATGTATTCACAACTCTCGTAAATCTCAAAGTTTGAGGTAATATCATGAGCGAAGTGGTTAGATGATTGTTGATATTCATTTGGTTGTAGTATGGTGCTATATGAACATTCTATGAGGATTATGAGGAGTATTGTCCATGAACTGACAGTAGAGTTTACATTAAAAATTATCGGATTCGTGTTCCAAGAACTAGAAAACGGTGAATCTACCGAAAAGGTATTTCATTGAATCTCAAAATATAAAGAATAATGTAAAGTCTCTTAAGAATTGAAAGCGCTCATTATACATGGTAGCTAGTAATATAAATATTGCTTGTTTCACTTATTGCAATAATAGAATCTTATTGCAAATTCAAATCAGTAAAGTGTCAACATAACTGATTTGGGAAAGTCCAGGTTAAAACAACCAGGGAAGTTATGAACATCCTGAAGTTTAAAGTTAAACAGAATTCAATACATATGACAATTAGTGATGGCCTGTGCTCTTTAATTTCCCTTAAACAAAGAAGAAAAGATACACGAATCTTTTGCATTTAATGGAAAAACTAAGAGTAAAGGAATAAAGCATTATTAGTTTTGATGAAAATATCGCTCATATATACCAGAAATGTAGAACTCGTATTGAAAAAGGATTTTTACCAATTAACTAATCTGTTTTGACTAACCCTGGGCAATAGAGTCAGCTGGTGGGAAAACGGTTTAATTTAAAGCAGAAATCATTCCCATACACCGTGAGGTTATAAATATGAAGCACTAATGGAAAGTGAATGCACAAAATATATATGAAGTGAAACATTTCTATCCTCACAAAAGTCAACACTATACAAAGAAGGCATTAAAGGTGAATTTTTCCATTAAATTTGAAATGTATAAAAAACGATTCGAAAAAAGACCATAGATTCTTTTCATTTCAAATATAGACTAATATTTTTATATTAGTTTCAATTTAATGTTGATATTTCGAATTAAATTTCACTGACTACTAGTGCAATATTATCAGTTGATTTTTATTTGTAAGCAATTTATTTAAATGAAAAAAAAATTGCTTCATGATACAAGCGCTTCTGAACACGCGTTCTATATTATTCGAATATGTTTAGTTCTACTTTCAGGAAAAATCATGTCACATTATTCTTTCAGTTTACTTTTATGTAATTAAGATAAGTAATTCATCTATCTTCTCTGTTTAATATCAAGAGCCTACGTACAGATAACGAGTCAAAGTCCAAATCCTATAGCTAACAGTGCTTTGTAAGAAAAATTAATTAACAAAAATTGAAATGAAAAATGGTGGCGGAAATCAGTGATTGAAGCTTTCTTGATGAGTATATTTTTATTTGACCCAACTGCACGAATAGTACGTATGAAAGTGATCTCATTAAGATTCATCGTGGATGCCAGCCACAATCATACCATGAAGGTGATACTGATATATCTCACTATCTCATAAATATCTTATAAGTAAAATACTTTTTAACATGAAAGATAATTATAATACATTGAAAGATAACTTTTATATCATTTCTTCTTCGACGAAATGCTCAAAAGTCCAAAAGTTCCATATTTTCTAAATACTAATGTTACATCATTTATCAATTTATGGAATTGAATATCATCGAATAATTAAATTTCAAAGAACCTGATTTTATACGAAAGCCTATTGCTACTAGAATTTTTCAAAGAAAAAGTCTAAACAAGTGTCAAAGCATGTGAGGATATATACAAAATAAAATTTGTTACCCCTTGTTGTGACTTCTTTGCAAGGAAGTAATAGAAGCTTAGCAGACTTTCCGCCATGAAACTGAAAATTTGATTCCATAGGTACAGCAAGCGTTGTTAACTTCATTGTGATGTCACTGATGAGGTTTTCTCTGCAAAGCGGTGAACTAGCACAGATGGGTGAGAAGATTACATGGAAACTGATCATCACACGTGTACGATTAGCACCCAAGTGCTGACAGTCAGATCTAAAATAAATTTAGATATATGTCGAGAACTCATGCATTATTAATAAAAGTCATGCAAAAGATTTACATACAGTTCACGGCTTTTTCTTTCTGTTTGACGATGGCGACGTTTAGCATTATTCGTTCCGCCACTATTGATTATAATAGAAGTGGTGCGTATTGAATTTGGTTTCATACCGTAGGCTTTTTCTAGCTAAAATGTCGTGAGGTACAAGTAATTTAGACAAACGTGATGACTCATTGAAAAGTGATTACTTGTCGAGCTATTTCATCAGGATTTTTAACAAGAGTACTTTGGCCTTGTTCTGGCATCCATGTGGATGAAAATTCTTGGAGCAGTTCGACTGGTTCTAAAGGAAAAAAATGATCTATTAACATCACTTGTTGTTTCTGGTGATATCGCTGAAAAAAAGTGAGTTATTATTCAACCAAGCTGTTCCAACATAATCAGTCTACAAGTTAAATTCATTTAGAAAATTCGAATAATATTCAATCGACAGAAGATATTTTCAATCATCTCTCGGCCATCATTATTCTAGGTAACATGCTCTAATGATCATTTCTAAAAAGTTACGTTTTCTAACTAGATTTTAGAAGAAAACCGGAAGATTTTCTTTCTATAGTTTTGTGGATATGAGCTACTCTCTAATAAAATATCAGAAGGAACCTTTTCATTACCAGGGCCTAGTACATTTTCCCAGCACTAAACTTGTTCGCCGAATTCAAAATAGCTTAGCTGAAAAGTCTGGAATGTTTAAAGTGTCTATACTTAATGATTAGAACTGGATAAAAGATTCAAAGAATGGCACACATACATAAAGCTTGAAAAAGCTCCATACTGTCGGAAAAGCTTTACAATATTTAGTATAATACTTTTCTCAGAGTACGGTAAGAGAAAAACTCGACAGTGATGCCATCTATACTTTCGTAGTTTCTTACTGTAATACATCTACATTAGTCCACAGTAAAAAAAAATACGAGAAGACAAATTAGATTTACTCTTATGGGATGTTATTCGGTTTTTACTATCGATTTTCAAATTTCGAAGAATATTATTTTGCATTCCACTATGAAAAAAGGATGCTGTTTCGACAATAGGGAACAAGCTTATCGGTATATACAAAGAAGCAATATTCTTGGAACTATTTCGGTTGAAGGCTTACAGTTTGTTCTTCAACTCACAGAAAGTTATTTGATAAGTATTCAGTATTCTATAGGCTATAAATATAAGAACTTTTGGTCAGCTTTACTCAAACGACTTCTGCATAATAGTGTTCTGAATAATCATCTTCTATATATATAAAGAAGAATGTTTGTCTGTTTGTCTGTTTGTCTGTTTGTCCGTTTGTCTGTTTGTCTGTTTGTTCGTTATGCATTCAATCCCTGTAATAGCTACGGTCACCAAACTTTCCATGGTAGTTCCCTAGGTCCAGGGAAAGGTCAAGAGGGGGTCAGCGCCCCAGTGGGGGGGGGGGGTTGGAGGGGGTACCTGGGTGAAAATTCACCCAGATGACTTTGTATTAGCAAACATTATCAAACTTTCCACAGTGTTTTCCTGAGTCCAGAGGAAGGTTTTAAGAGGGTTGGCACTATTGATAAGGATACAGAGGCGGTGCCTGGGTGAAATTTCACCCAAGTCATATCACGGTGGAATTTTCATCAATTTTCTAGAAATGTAGCGAATTTGTTACGATTCGAAAATTAATCATTTCGTATTAATAATTTTTTGGTCTAAATGTAAAAATCGAAGGTTTCTCATGTTAAGTTAAAAGGAGAAAATGTATACGAGTATTTTCTTGGTTTACAACAATGGCGTATTCATTTTTTTGTCTGACTCACAAAACAACGCGTTTGTTCTTTTTCTTGACTCACAACGATGATGTATTGATAATAAGAATGTATTTGAATGATATGACTATATAATCAGATGTGGCACATTCTTGAATGAATATCAGTTGATTTCTTTGTCATTTGTTATGTATACAATGATGTATAGCATTCTTTCTTATGCATCATAAGCCGTCATTGGAATTTTCATCTCACGTTATGAGATGACGTTATTGATATGTTCCAGCGCTTTGCTTCAGTATAAATAGATGTCTTTTTCTATTGTTTTTCGCTAACAAAGCGATATCTTCCCTATAGTGTTTCTTATCCTCCGACGATTCTAGCAACATATAAAATATACATATTCTACCAATACAAACAATTGCAAACTACAAGTAAGTGCGTAACATTCAATATAACCTTCACGGAGTTTACAGATTATCGAAGCATTGTCGATCGTAATATCAAGAGAAAATCGCACAGGTAACTTTGTAAAAGCAGCTTTCTTTAAAAGATTTTCTATCTTTCTCTCTTAGATAAAAAATATTCAATTATGCCACCCAAAAGACGAACTTCCCTAGCAAGAACCACATCAGCTTCCAGAAGAATGGCAGCTACCAGAGCAGCCGAGAATCCGGAGCAGATGAGTAGTCGGCTTGCTGGCCAACGCACAAGGCAAGCGGCTTCCAGGGCTGTCGAAACTCCAGAAGAAGCAAAAGCCCGACATGACGACGATAGTGCACGACATGTGGTCTCCAGAGCAGCCGAGAGCCCGGAGCAGAGAAGTAGTCGGCTTGCTGGTCAACGCACAAACATCAGTCATTCGTCCAATACAGAGCTGCGCATGACTGTCGTAGCTTTTTGTTGGATCATATCTGAACT